CACCAGCGCCCGCCGCGGCGACCACCGCCGCCACTCCGTCCGCCGCCGCTTCCGCGACTTCGTCACCCTCGCCGACCGCCTCGCCGAGTCCTTCCGCGGCCACTTCGTGCCCCCGCGCCCGGACAAGAACACCGTCGAGAGCCAGGTCATGCAGCGCGACGAGTTCGTGGCCCAGCGCCGCGCGGCTCTCGAGAGGTACCTGTGGCGGCTCGCTGAGCACCCCGCGATCGGGACCAGCGACGAGCTGCGCGTGTTCCTGCAGGCCGAGGGCAAGATGCCGCTGCCGAGCAGCACTGACGTTGCCTCGCGGATGCTCGATGGCGCGGCGCGTCTGCCAAGGCAGCTGCTTGGGGAGGAGGCGGTGGCCCCGCCGCAGGACGTGGTTCAGCCGGCCAAGGGCGGGAGGGACCTGCTGCGGATATTTAAGGAGCTGAAGCAGTCGATGGTCACGGACTGGGGTGGCGTGAGGCCACCACTGGTGGAGGAGGACAAGGAGTTCCTGGAGAAGAAGCAGAAGATGCAGGATTGGGAGCAGCAGCTCAGTAGCGCATCGCAGCAGGTAATTTTCGGGCCATCTTTCGTAATATATAAAGCACACTGCTGAACTTCATGTTCTCGATCATACACTATCAACACATTATAAGTTGTTATATACGCTGCTTCTACTTGTGTTTGACATTGTAAGTCATTGTACATAGGCCGGCGTAAGCCCGCCGTTGACTCGTCAAAAAAAAAAGTCATTGTACGTTTTGAAGATAAAAGTTACAACCTTCCGCCCCATTGTAACATTGTTCCTGTAAATGTTTTTCCTCTTCAAACACTGTGTAATCAATACTCCCTAGTGTCAAAAAACGTTTTACATTATGGGACGGAGGGAGTACATCTTAAGCAGTGTCGTGCTTGGTCACTTTGTCAAGAACCAGAATGCCATGTACCACTTGGACCAACTGAATGGTGTGTATCCAGTATATCTAGTATATCTAGGTGAGGTGTAATGCTCAAGTCATCTAATGGAACGACCTCTACAATAAGGTTTTATCCTCAGGTTGTTTCTCAATTCTTGGGTTTCTCAATCAGCTTGTCGCTGGGATCAGGGGATATTTGGGCCACAAAGATCGATACAAGAATCCTCCACTTCGACTTGTTGTTTGCTCAATAGCTTGTATCTAATGCAAGATAAAAGCTAACTTGCCTTCCCCCACCTCATCCAAAAGCTGAGCTGGGATGAGTTTGGAAGCAGGCGAGTTGGACTACTGTATGGAAGCATTTAACGTAGGATGTGGTTTTGTTGTATTAGTAAGGTCAGTTTATCACTAAGTTATGGGAGCTGATGGGCGAAGAAGATATGGAAAGGGAAGAAGAAACACATCTTAGCTCTTAGGTGCAAAATTGGTCACACCACAGCAGGGAAATAATTATCACAATTCGGATAGCTATTGGTGGAAATGAATTGCAACTTTTGTGTGTGAAAATAAGGTCCCTCTCCTCTTGGCCTCCATATTTGAGTACACAGAAGTGACAGCCTGCAAGTTTTAGTCTCATTTGTGCCTTATGCCCGGGCAATCAATTAGCCACAGATGTCTACCATCTTATGAATTACTCCCTCTGTAAAGAAATATAAGAGCCTTAGTGATCTAAGTGCTCTTATATTTCTTTACAGAGGAAGTACTTGTTTTATAGTTCTTGCCAGCCAGACATAAGTGTGCATAAGAGTGGTGTGTCAGCTTGCATATTGTTCGTTCTATGCAAAATGTCCAATTCTATAAAAAAAGGTTCAATGCTTTTGCGTGTTAATGACTTTATTTAATGTGTAATTAGTTGTGGATCACAAAGCTGGTTTAGTTGACTAGACAAATGTTCGCTTTCTTTCCTTTCTGACCGGTCGGTGAATATGGGAGCACAGCACTGTGTTTTTCTAGAATTAGCGAGTGTAAGCGGTATACACCACTCAAACGACCATTGTGGTTGGGATCCATTTTTCGGGTAACATGGTGGTCCTACTTTGATCCTTGTTATAATATGCTGCTTCAAATACTACCTGCTTACTAATTAAATATTTAAATCATGACCCATATACACCGCCAATGCATGTAGCGCTGTAGCACAATAATTGTATGGAGGATGAGATCGATAGGGTTTCATATGAAAGCTGTGATGCTGGTGTTAGTTCAAATGCTGGATCTGACACTTCACGTAAAAAATAGAGAAGTGCCAAGGGCGAGGTAATGAAATCCTGGTTTAGAGTCATGTCACTGCAGTCAACTTGTACTAATATGGTTTGAAAGTGACCCATTCAATTCTTTTCCTTCTTTCTGTAATGGCAATTTATGGTTTATTGTGTGGATTTCCAAGATTCTTTTGGTTTCTGGTTGCTATGCGTCAAGAGTCCTATTTGAATGGTATAGTTTCTGGTCTTAGGGGAAATTTCCCTATTCCAAGATATGCACTAATGTTTAGACACTGGAGAGGAATGATCATGTCAGTTGAGCCCAGAACCCCACTTCCGGCAGTCATAAGATTGCGGTGTACCTGATAGCATGAGGCAAATAATTGGTGGGGGATTGAACATAAAAATAAGAAGTCAAGTCATGCTAAAATGTGCGTGAATTGTTTTGGTGGGTGCTCTTGAGTCTTGAGCAAGTATTGGTACTTTGGTAGTATGCACATGGTATGTTTGAAGGTAGTTTTAACAGTTATTTATGAGTTGATTTTGTTTGCTTCTTCTCCATAGGCGGAAGCACTTGTCAAGGCTCAGCAAGATATGGGTGACACAATGGGTGCTCTTGGATTGGCATTCGTCAAACTTACAAAGTTTGAGACTGAGGAGGCAATTTATGAATCTCAGAGGATAAGAGCTGTTGACAGCAAACGTATAGCAACGGCAGCTGTCAAAGCTAGCAGGACATGTCGAGATCTGAATACACAAACTGTTAAATATCTGGTACTATTTCAAATCCTCAAATTGTGTTTTTATAGTCTCTCCTGGCTATTTAGTAATCATTTTACATGTCTTGTTTCTTTTTTGCAGGATACTTTGCATGAACATTTGGGGATAATGCTGTCTGTCCATACTGCATTTTCTGATCGGGCTAGTGCATTATTGACTGTTCAAACGCTTATGTCAGACCTTGCATCATTACAATCAAGGATTGAGAAACTTGAAGCTGCATCATCGAAAGTATTTGGTGGTGATAGAACTAGGCTAAGGAAAGTTCACGAGCTGAGAGAAACAATAAGAGCTACTGAAGATGCTAAGTGCTGTGCGTTAAGGGAATATGAGAGAATCAAGGTAACTGACATGTTCTTTGCTTAACGAAAAACTGATTGGATGCTTTCATAACTAGCAATGAGCATGTCATGTCCAATGGATGTGCAAGCTCCACCACCTTTAGCTCATAAAAGTGTGATGATATGAGATATCATTAGTTTCTTTGCTTCATAAGGAATTATTCTCCTGCAATGGTTAGCTCAGCTTTGAAATAGATACATTCTACTAGTTTGTGTTGAAGTTTCTAGTTCCTAGTTCACTTTTGTTATCAACATTGCACTCCAGCGATGTTTTATATTGGTAGGAAACTACTAGTTTCTCTGCTGTAAAACCATTTTATGGTGTTTCCTGTGCTTTTTTTATAGATCGGTTAACACATTAACTCTAACCTGGTGTGCCAAAATTTTGCTCATGTTTGGTACCTGCGGGAGTTACTCCACAATGTTTGATATTCTACTCTGTAGAATTCTTTCTAATATTTGTGAGCACACCATGAATAATCTTATTTACTACCTCCTTTCTGGTTTATTAGGCCTGCGCGTACCTCTAGATGGACAAGTAGACCAACGTAACACAAGTTATATATCACAACAAAATATATCATTAGAAACTTGAAAACGTATACTTTCTAGTTGTATAATTTTTGGAATATACAACTCATCTTATGTTGGTCAAATTATCAATCTAGGGACACGCGCAGGCCTAATAAACCAGAAAGGAGGTAGTACCTGTTTGCATGAATCCTAATCCTCAACTATTTCAATAGTTCCCTCAAAGATCCATTTAGGACCAGGAAATTCACTGGAATACACACAGAACTGTGGAAAATTATCTTGTTCCAAGCAGAAGCTACTACTTGTTGGCGTGTAGGTGGAAAATATTAAATAGTGCCGCAGTACCTCTGCTTCACTCAAAATTGCGTCAATAAGCTTGTTGTAAAGCAGTGTCTTTATTGTTCTGCACTTTCTCTTCTAGAGGAACACTTGCTTTGGTGCAGTGACCAATGTAAGGATATTTCAAATTTGTGGCAGATATCTTACGTCGTGGTTACTCTTTATGCAGGAAAATAACAAAATTGAACTCAGCAGATTAGATAGAGAAAGGAGAGAAGATTTCCTGGAGATGCTGAAAGGATATGTTACAAGCCAGGTACTATTTCAGATGTCCAAACACTTCCTCTGTGCCAACGATCGTAGTTACAAAACCTTTTTAGGAGTCTATTACATGACATTGCTCTGTATCGTCCTCAGTGATTAGATAATTGATTATTACATTGAACTAATTTTGTGAGAAGCCTTGGCCTTTATTCATTCACCAGAGTAGTCCGACAGAATCATTATACAATGAAAACATGGAACTATTACAGTCAAATTTAACTAAACCATGTGCCACCTCATTTGCCATATGCTAGACCCCTTGGGTCTTTGCCTCATTTTCTGTATGCCGCTGCTGCCTGCATGTTTGCCACTCCCGTGCGCTGTGCACCAAAGATCCCAGCATGGTCGCACCAGTCCTCCAAAGAAGATAACTTTGCACATTGCACAGCTTATCTATGGTGAGGACCGAGGAGACGACAGATACATATCCTTGTCCAACACTACCACTCACATGCTGACCCAGGTGCTCCGCCATTCAGAGCAGCCAACATATGACCCTCAGCAGTTTAGATGTTGAATTCAGGATTCACCATCAACAGCTTACTAACATTCGAAGTTGCACACAAACCGTTTCTCCAGAAACATCCCTATTTTGCAGCAATTTGCTCCATCTGGTTGTTTCCAGCCAACTCTGGCTGCGTCTGTGCTTATTTTGTCCAGTGGTTACCCCGCGTGGTGTTCATTGTTACCTGTCGTTGACGGAAAATATCTGCTTGGCATGTACACAGGCTTCATATGCAGAGAAGATCGTTGACGGTTGGGAGACAGTGGCGGAGGAGACCAGCGGATATGCGCGAAGATCATCAAATGACGCAACATATTAGTCTGTGTTTTGTTGGGGTACATGTATGTACAATGTAATTTAGGATGCGATCCGAATAGAAGAAAGATGAACCTAAATTCAATTTGTTTTTCAGTTATCTGTTGCATCGCTTTGCCATTGTCTGGAATGTACCCATTGATTGCTCTGTCTCCGTTACGTCTCCAGGTTCACATCTTTTTTCCTTTTTGAAATGGAGGCATAAGATTTGCCTCATCTTAATATTAAGGATATTAATCGAGGGGAGAATAGAGTTTTACAAATGATACTCAAACAAAATGTTACGTCTCCAGGTTCACATCCTTTTTTCCGTTTCGAAAAGCATAAGATTTGCCTTGTCTTGATATTAAGGAATTAAGGAGAGAATAGAGTTTTACAAACAATCCTCAAACAAAATGTGAATGGTTACTCTCACAGATATAATCGTCCCTAGATTTTTGGCTCTTGCGGTGATCCAAAATTCCAAAGTTTTGCATTGGCTATGATGATGTTGAGCAAGATCGGCTGTGGGGCGCATTTATGGCAGAAGACCTGAACGTTCCTTTCACTCCAAACAGTTCAAGAGATCGATATCTTGAGAGAAGCCATTGGTCCTATTAGCCCACCAGTCCTTGACGGTCTCCTTCAAATGCCAAGTGAAAGCAATATGCTTGAGATGGAGCTTCTTGATGATAGATTACAAAGCCCAAGCGTATAGCTTGAAGAAACGTATGTGTCCCAGACTCTTGTTTTGCTTACAAAGGGGACAAAGTCTACGATTTGAATACCTACATTTGACTAACCTATCGGTGGAACTAAACCTTTGATAGCGTCCAGTCGGATGTGTTTGCAAACGATGTCATCCTCAGTTGCTCATCTAGGTGAAATTGATGCAATAGATTGAAAATTTGTTGGGATGGGTTCAACGGAATAGCCTCAAAGATGGTGGAAGCGATCTCCGTAGTTGGAGGGTATCCCGGAAACCTATGTGAATTTTACGTTCCTGAATTATTAGAGGTTGTAACTCCTTATAAATCTAATATGTATAGACGCGTTTTAGTGTTTTCCATGCAATTTGTAAATTGCCGATATTAGATGTTGTGACTGATTCCTAAATCTATAGATGCGTTTTAGTATTTTTAGTGCGTTTTGTACATTGGCCATACGATTATGTATGGGATTTATTTGATTGGTTGGATTTTTCATAACATATAATTTTCCTCCATTGATACAAGCTCCTCAAAATCCAACAGAGGATACTGAACAGTTTTGGCGGCAGCCTTCCAACGACGGGAAGGAACACACAAGTGCAGTGCAACCAGACAGTATTTTAGAAAGACAGTGAAAAAAAAATTACTCCATAAGAAGACATGCCACGGAAATGCATTTTCACATTTTCTTTTCCCACCTTCCAAAGATCGTGATGCACAATCAAGGTTTCTTATCACAAGAAACATCGAAACAGAGAAGAGTTCCCATGCCTAACAGAACTACAAACGAAGCACAAAAAACTAGCTAGGAGCTTATTAGTTCTGCAGAGGAATCCAATCTTCTGGTCCACCATTTGATCTTCATTGGAGCACAGCAGCGGACACCGAAGGGCAAGCCGACCAAACACCATAGACATGGTTTGGCCGCCGCAAAGGGGGATCACAACCCTTCGAAGAACTCGCTCATCTCAGCATCATGGAAGGCAGGGTTGCGCATGGCCCGATCCTCTGATATCCACATTGGGTAAGGATAATCAGCTTGCAGCATGCCCTCCAGCATGCCTTGGTCCAAGCCATCCAGGTAGAGAGGTTCCTGCAGGCCCATCTCCACGCCAGTGTTGGTTCCACAATTCCAGGAGCCCCCAGTGACCGGCTCAACTTCAATTGGGTCGGCTTCCATCAATCTCAGTAATTCTTCTATATCAAAACCGTCTGCTTCCCCATCCGGCAAACTGGAAATAGGCTCCAATGGCTCGAACACATCCTCTTCGGATGTGCTCCTTGCAATGCTTGAGCCAGCATCAGGAACAGTGTCTTTATGGCTGTAATGCTCGACAGACTCCAGCACAACTGATTCGGTGGACTCAAGCACATCTGGCTGGGAGTAAATCTCAAGAGCTTGAGCTTGTCGCGGCAAGTTAGAAGCAACATCTGAGTGGTTGGCTGATGTTGTAGTAGACTCGCATGATGCTGAAGCACCACGTACAACACCTTCAATTGCCGCTGGTAGAGCCACAGCAGGAGCTTGTGCAGGATGCGCAGGGAAGTTGGTACGAGCCAGGGCGCCATACATTGCTCTTGCTGCCTCGTCATAAGCACGGGCAGCATCCTCAGCAGTGGGGAACGTTCCCAACCAGAGCCTGCTCACCCGATTTGGCTCCCGAATTTCAGCAACCCACTTCCCCCAAGTACGTTGCCTTACACCACGGAATCCACATTGTGTATTCTCAGGTCCTCCTTTCCCCTGCATACAGCCCTTCTTTGAACCCTTTGCAGGTGGCTTCCTCGCCCTCTTTGCACCCTGTGGATCATGCTCCAGTTGTTGGTTCACTTCTTTCCATCGCCTGATCGTTTCAGAGACTGAATTAGGCCCATCACGTGATCTCCGAGGTCGCTTTTTCCTGTAGAACAAAGAGCAGAGCAGCAGTTAGTACCTTATATTCTCTTCAGATTTTTTTCACCCAATATAAGCACAAGGTACAATCAAGAAAGAACGCAAAACAATTGAGGCACCCAAACAGACCAGCTCCACATAAACATTTTGTTCAATGACTAAACTATAAATAAATGGCACAAACAGACCATGCCCACAGGAACAGATGTACAGCAACAGGGACATATAAACTTCCTTGCGGAAGTACCATCTCCACAGAAAACAATACCATGATAAATCGTACTAATCGGCGCCATCCCTAAATGTGTTTAAGTAGCAAAATATGACAAAAAAGAACAGGATGAGAACTGACTTCTATACTTGAAGACTGATTAATCAGAAAGGACATGGCAAAAATTAGCCACTACAAAACTGTTAACAACACCTAGAGTCAGTTTAGGTGAGATGGCATCCAGATAGAGTGGTACCATCAACCAACAGCAAGACAATGGTTCAAAAACCAACTATTATAATGACAATGCAAAACAGTCCAAATATTGGCTGGACCTCCCAGTACGGAACTGTACAACGTACAGTCAGTTTAAATGAGATCACATCCACAGAGAGTGATACCATCAACCAACAGCAGGAAAATGGTTAAATAGCAGCCACTATGAAACCAACTGTTAGAATGATATGGCAAAACGGCCAAAAGGTTAGCTGGAACTCTTAGTCATAGCTCACATGCTCTATAATACATAGAGCAGCCAGACATAGAACGGTTAAACACACCGCAGAATAGATGCCACTGGCAGCGCATCTCCCTTGGGGTTTTGCCGCGCCAAGAATGCATATTCATTACAGGGAAGATTACTGCTTCCTGCTGAAACACAAACAGTTATTTCTGCTGACTTTTCCGTCAAACGCGAGGTACCCATCTCAGTCATAGTTCATGCTTCTGTTTACAGGAGTGATCAAAGCAGCATACCTATTGGTTTGACGAGAACATGACTCCGGGTACTTTCCTCTGCTCCACAAGTTCTAGTTACCGAAAAGAAAAGACAAACAGGACAACACATATCAGAGACTGGATTAACTAACAAAACTGTCAAACAAGACATATCAGAGACTGGATAAACTAACAAAACTGACAAACAAGACATAACAGAGACTGGATTAACTAACAAAACTGACAAACAAGACATATCAGAGACTGGATAAACTAACAAAACTGACAAACAAGACATAACAGAGACTGGAGTGGATAAAACAACAAAATTGACAAACAAGACAACAGGATGAAACAACGGAACAAGTTAGAAAGGTCCAGCCAACTTGGTACTGACTGAAGTTAAAAACTTCTATGCTAGGCAACATAAACATCACTCCTAATCCAGGAACAAACAGACCCCAAGGGTAGGATACCAATACAAACTGATGGTATTGACTGAAGCTAACAACTTTTTTATCCTAGGGAGACATATACATGGTCCCATGCTCGTACAAACATTCTGTGGAGATGGTACTGAATGAATTTAACAAATTTTATGCTAGGTGCCATAAACATCGCTCCCAATCCAGTAAAGGAACCTTGTCCTATGAGCAGGACAACTGGTACAATTGTTTCTTTGGAGATGGTACTGATTACAGTTAACAAATTCTCTTCTACCTACTACTACCACTAAAGCACCAACAATTTAATTGATTTATTCTGATTTCACACATCACTCGCGGCAGCATCCAATCCAAAGGACGTAGATGACCCCAATTCGCCCCCAATCAGGGGGCTCATAACCAAATTGGAACTAGAAAGTAACTCCCAATTGCCAATACAACCATAACCGGAAACCCTAATCCCCAAATCCCTACAACACAGGCACCAAGACCGGCCAACTCTACCACCGAACCCCACAATTCCCAACTCCAAGCACCCAAATCGACCAGCCAACAGAGAATTAAACACTCCCGGGACCGTATCCCGAACCGATTTCGAACCCCCAGAGCAAACCCTAACAAGAAGCAGGCACCGGACAGAAGATCTCACCTTCCAGGCTGGAGCGCCGGGATCTCGAAGGGCGTCGCCGCCGCCGCCGCCGCCTCGGCGTCCTTCCGATCTACCGTCATGGCCGGCCCGATCCGGATCGGGTCCAGATATCTAGCGTTCGCAATCTTGTCGCCTGGTTTCTTCGCCGCGTCGACTTGGATAGAGAGTTGGGCAGAGGCGTGGAGGAGGAGAGAAAGAAAAGTCGGAAACCCCAGGGGCTCACGCCGGGCCGCCTATTTATAGCCCGGGTCGGGGCGCTCCGTGCTCCGGGCTCACGGAATTATCTAGGTCACTCGCGTGCGGGGCGTTGGCGCGTGGGGCCCGTATGTAAGCGACGCGGTCCGCGTGGGCGCGGTGCGTGGGGGTGAGGCCGCGGGCGCGTGACGTCAGCAGTGCCGTGGTGCGGGGAAACTTCCCGAGACTTGGTGCCGAAGGAAACTCGGCTTCTCCTTCACGCTTTCGAGTGCTACCAGTGCTTTTCTTTCGGGGTGGATTGGACGTGCTGCTCTTGGGTGGGTTCCACGTGTCGGTCTACGTGTGGCCAGTGGCTGGGGGGCTGAGTCGATATAGGAGACGACACGTGGGCGGTCGGGATGACACGGTGGATCGTGAGACATCTTTTTTTGTTTTGTTGAGACGGTATGAGACGTCTTTGGTTGCATGGATCAGTGGTGGCCAGCGTGGTCTCCTTCTCCCGTCGTAATGGCAACTCCAACGCCCCGATGTATTTAATATGCCCGTGTTTGTTTGGGTCAAAACGGATGAAAACATTGGTCCAACGCTTCGATGCAAATTCAAATACCGTCCGATCGCTGACTGTCTAAACGGATTCCCGGTCCATATTTGCGTCCGATTTGTGTCCACAGACGCCCGTGTCGCCCACCCAACCACCGCCGCGGTCATATTGAATGCGACCCACCCACCTCGGGCCCACATGGCAGCCGCTGAAAGCGCTTGCAGTCCACGCTTATTTTAAATGGCAAGCGTGCGGGAGGGCAGCCTCACCCACTTCCCACTCCCGTCCACATCTAGCCAAACTCCCGCTCCCTTGTCGGCGACAGGAAACCCTAGCCATGGTTGGCTTCTTTGGGAAGGGGAAGGGGAAGGGGAAGCATGACGCCCAAGCCAACTCCTCACATGGGCTCACGAGGTGGGTGCTGGTGCCAGCGGCGGGGAACGCGTGTATATCTGATACGTCCATTTTGCATCATGTTTTCCTACTGATATTTATAATATTTTTGATCATTATAACACTTTGTGATGCAATTTTAATGCATTTTCTCTCTTAATTTGTAAGATTTACACAAAGAGGAAGATTGTCAATAGCTGAAATTCTAGACCTGAAAAAACTACATCAGGGATATCTATTTTGCAGAACTCCAAATGATCTGAAATTTCACGAAGAATTTTTATGGAATATGTAAAAAATACTTGAGCAAAGAATTACCAGAGGGGGCTCACTAGTTGCCCATAAGGCAACAGGGCGTGACCACCCCCCTGGCGCGCCCTGATGCCTTGTGGAGTCCACAGTTGGCCTTCGGCCCCCATTTTCTGCTATATGAAGGGTTTTGACCTAGAAAAAAAATAAGGAGAGGACTTTCAGGATGAATCGCCGCCGGCTCGAGGCGGAACCTGAGCAGGAGCATCTTAACTCTCCGGCGGAGCGATTTCACCGGAGACACTTCCCTCCGGGAGGGGGAAATCGAAACCATTGATATCACTGTCGTGGTTCTAAGTCTGACAGTAATGTAGGGGGGTAAGTATGGAGAGGCGAGGTCTTAGCTATGGAGAGGTTGTAAGGACGCAAGGTTTACGAGTTCAGGCCCTTCTCGGAAGAAGTAAAAGCCCTACGTCTCGGAGCCCGGAGGCGGTCGACTGGATTATGTGTGTATGAGTTACAGAGGTGCGAACCCTTGTCTCGGAGGAGGGGTGGCTTATATAGAGTGCGCCAGGACCCCGGCCAGCCCACGTTACGAAGGGTTCAATGTACATTAAGGTAGGGCGTTACTGATAACGCTAGCAATAAAGTGCTATGATGACCATAAAAGCTACTTAATGACCGACCGTTAGCGTGCGGAGTGACTTTAGGTCTCCTGGCCGTCGAGTGGTTGGATCTTGGTCGAGTAATTGCTTCTTGGTCGAATGTCTTCGAGTCTGTCGAGTGGAACACCTCCAAGTCGATTGAAAGGTGATTATTCTAGAGGTGTCCTTGGGTAGGGCAGTTAGGACAGGTCCGTGACCCTACCCTAGGTACATAGCTTCATCATTAGCCCCCGAATGGATCGAGGTTTGAGTGGGGAAGGAGTTGAGGACTTCTCCGACTCGTTTTCTATGCCGTGAGCATATCTTGTTTCGGATCAACGGACCTAAGTGATGACAGCAACTCCCTTTTCAGTCGCCTTGATCCATTCTTAATTCTTCGCCGAGTGAGTTTCTTTACTTGTAAGGCTTCGAATGACGGTGCGGAGGAGATCTTTGGTCTGACAAGTTATTTGCTGCCCGCGGATTTAGTGGGATCCGAATTTTGGGAAGCGCGTGGGACGGGGGAGACCGCAGTAATCGGACGAGATAGAGCGGAGCCGCCTCGATCCCCGCGCCACCTTTTTCGCCACGTATCGCTCGTGCGGTCATTACGGGATTTGACAGAGCCATATGGGCCTACCTGTCAGCCACTCGGAAGCGGCCTCATATAAGGCGTTGGACCGGAGTCTCCCGAATAGTGCGCCCCATTATCTCTTCTCCTTCTCACGCCTCTCCTCTGCGCTCGCTCTTGCTCCAGCGCCACCGTGCCACATGCGTCTCGTCGGCGACAATGGTGAAGGAGAAGACAGCGGCTCTGGAGCGGGCAAAGAAGGCGACGGCGAGGTCAAAGGGGAAGGCGACGAGCCGGGGCGGATCTTCCTCGCGGACTGGCCTGACGAAGGGCTGGATCCAGGGTGACTGGATCCACTCAAGGATCTCCCAAGAAGACCTCGACGACCTGGCCGAGGGAGGGCTGATCCCCTATGACTCGGCGCGGCTTCCGGGGAAGGAATCCGAGTCGCAACCCCGGGAGGGTGAGCGCGTTCTTCTTGCCACCCACGTCGATCATGGGTTTTCCTTGCCCCCTCATCCTTTCTTCCGAGGGTTTCTGAACTTCTTTGGGGCTCAACTCCACCATTTTACCCCCAACTCAATCATTTATCTTGCCGCGTTCATTTCCTTGTGTGAGAACTTCTTGGGTTGTCGATCTCACTGGGGTCTTTTCAAGCATATTTTCACTTGTCGCTCCCAGGCAGTGAAAAAGGCTAATCCGAGTGACGAGAGGACCCAAGTGATCCAGATGTGTGGTGGTCTTGGCATCCAAACGAGGGGAAAAAGCTCCTTTCCGGCCATGATTCTTGTCGATTCAGTTCGCGGATGGCAGTTGACCTGGTTCTACTGCAAAGACCAGTCGACGCCAGGGCAATCGTCTGGCCTCCCTCCCTTTACCATGGACCGAGTGGAAAAACCCTCCCCTTTGAAGGTGCTCCCGGAGGAGAAGGCGCACGTGAAGGTGTTGGTCAACCGAGTGGTCCAGCTCATTCGTGACGGGGTCACTAGTATGGATCTCTTGGAGGTCTTCCTTCAGCGGCGCATCCAGCCTCTCCAAGCCCGAGACCACCCGATGTGGATGTATTCGGGTCTAGAAGACTCCGCTCGGATCCACCCGGAGGAGGTCGATGACGACACGTTGGAGAAGTGGCTGTCGAGCATTACCGGGAACAAGGACAATCCCAGAGGAGCCAGGAGAGTTCCCCCGTTCGACCAGTCACGTGCACCAGAGCAGGTCTGATTCTGAGTTTTTGCTTGTAATCTGAATTCACTCGCGCAGCTGTCTGTATTGCATCGACTGACTTTGTTCTCCCTGCTTTCTTTCAGGCTATTATTGAAATGTATTCGATGCCCAACGGGGAGCAAGAGCAAGCTCTGGAAGGTGAGGCGAGTGGTGGCGAAAGTGGCGAGTGGACTTCCGATGGTGAAGGGGATGGTGGAAGTGATGACTCAAGTGATGGGGAAGAAGTCGAGTCGCCTCCTCGCATAGAGAGATGATCCAAGCTTGACCAAGAACGGCCGAGTGCCCGCGACAAGGCAACTGCT